GCATTATGTTTTAAACATTTCCGATACAAAAACTTTGATGAATGGATATAGGTTTATCAAAGAACTGATTTTACAACATCATAATTTTGATATGAATGAGGCTTATGAAACACTTATGAGGGATGATGTAATGGTGTATTCAGTAAAAACTGGTGCCTTTGTTATAGATAAATGTAATTTAGCAAAAGCAAGGGAGGTGTTGAAGTTTGGCAGTGAGATTGGTTATTGGAGGTGGTCTGATAAATTCAATTTTCCCAGCAAGGCATTTAGCAAACAACCCAGTGTATTATGTAACATTACTGAGTATGAAAATGACACCGGTAAAGTCAAGGATGAATGGAACACTGATGAAATCATAGATGAGCATATTATGACTAATAGGAGATGACTAATAGGAGGTTGATGATTAGAGGTGATGTGCCGGGAACAGGTAAGAGTTTTATATGTCAGCATTTACAGGTGAGAAATTATAAAGTCTTGTTTGTTGTGCCTACTAATAATTTGAAACAAGAGTGTGGAGCAGAAGCAATGGCAATAAACAAGTTTTTTGGAATATCTTATGGTGATGAGAGGCTTGAGAAGTTTGATTATTCTGATGTTGATGTCATAGTGTTTGATGAGATATACTTTCACAATGTAAGCAAGTGGGCTCTCATCTGGAACTTTTGTAAAACCAATCCTGATAAGATTATATTAGCAACAGGGGACACAAAACAATTAAAAAACCCAGAGAGGGTAAGCAATGTTGTTTCTTTTGGGAAGTATGCCGACCGTTGTATAGACTAGATTTTTGAAAATAATATTATGCTTTATGAATGTAAGAAGTTGAAGACTGAAGAAGACAGAAAGAAACTTTATGATATTAAGAGATTGATTTTTAACAATGAGCCAGTCCTTAATGTCATTGAAAAATACTTTGGATGGAGTGATGGCAATGAGATATGTGAAAACAACATTGCTTATACAAACAAGACTTGGAGGGAGGTGAGTAGCAAAATGAGAAAGATGAAAGGCATAGAAGATGAATATGTGATTGGTGAATATGTAATATGCCGGAAGTATATTAAAACTAAAGGCACACAATTTAATGTGAATTTCAAATTTAGGATTTCAAATATCGTTGGCGATATTGTTGTTTTAGAAAATGTGGCAACTGATGTGAAGCAAAATATAGAAATGAAAGTGTTGAGAAAGCATTTCATATATGCTTACTGCTACACGCCACATTCAAAACAAGGTTGTAGTGTAGATGATGACATTGTGATATATGACTGGAGCAAATGGTATTGTAGCAAGAACTGGTATTGGACTTCGGTCAGCAGGGCAAGAGATTTGAATAGAGTTAAGTTTCATAAATATGATGTGGATGAAAATGATATGAGCAGATTAAGAGTAGAAACATATTTCAAAAATAAAGTATTGAACTATATTGAGCAAGATAAGAAAAGCAACAGACCCATAGATGATGATGAGTATGTTGATGTGGATTTCCTGATGGATATGATGAATACCCAGTGTGAAAATTGTAATGAACCATTGGTTATTGATTTTGAAGATGGCAAGGTTTCATCAAATATTAGTTGCCAAAGATTAAATAATGAACTGGCACATTATAAAAGCAACTGTATTCCACTGTGTGTTCAATGTAATTGCGCTTTTTCAAATAAAATATCAATGTAAAATGGTTTTAAAGAGATGGTATGTTTAGGATATATGGAGAACAATAAGTATGAAAAAGGAAAATATATTTAATTACAGATGTTGCTTACACAAAGTGCTACTACGGAAGCACTTGTGAAGAATTGAGCAAAATATTTTGGAGACATAAAGGTGTCTATAAAACCTTTTTAGACGGCAAGTGTTCATATAAACATTCAATTTGTCAGTTATTTGATGAATTCGGAGTAGAAAACTGTAAAATAGAACTGGTAGAACTGTTCCCGACCCAATCCAAGATTGAACTATTACAAAGAGAAGGCTATTACATCAAAAACAATGCTTGTGTCAATAAAGAAGTGGCAGGAAGAACACTGCAAGAATATTACAAAGACAACAAAGAAAAGTGCGCCAAGTGGAACAAAGAATGGCATATCAAAAATAAAGACAATGCCAATGAAAGAGGAAGAAACAACTATCATAAAAACAGAGACAAGTTGATGTCAATAGTTGATTGTGATTGCGGTAGTTCTTTTCAACTTCAAAATAGGTGGCACCACATCAAGACAAAAAAGCACCAAGACGGGCTGAAGCAACAAAAAGAAGAATAAATGATATGATATTTACTTATTATATCATCTATTCTATAATGACTGATAGTAAGAAGCAAAAAATAATCAATGATATATATTTTGATAAGGCTGGGTTTGGTTCTTTAAAAACAACCCTTGAAGACAGCAAGAAGAAAGATAGTAGCATTACTATGGATGATGTAAGGCAATTCTTTAGAAAAAATGTTGAAATAAAAGCAAAGCAAAGAGGGTATAATTCCTTCACAGCACCAAAAAATAATCATACTTATCAGATAGATTTGTTCTTTATGGGGTATTATGATTTTGATGAGGAACAAAAGTTCAGAGGAGCGTTAGTGTGTATTGATGTTTTGAGCAAGTATGCCGTTGTTGTTCAAATCAAAACTAAAAATGGGGAGGATGTCCTTGAAGCAACTAAAGAGGCATTAGGGAAAATGGGTAAGAAGCCTAAAATGATTTATACAGATGATGAGAGAGCAATAGCAGGTGAAGACTTTAAGGATGATGTGGAAGGTGAAGGTATAACCTTACATAGGACTAGAGGACACCCAGCAGTTGCTGAAAGATTTATACGCACATACAAAGATATGCTTTTTAAAAGAGTAGAGGCTGATGAAAAAAAGGGTAAGGCAAACATACAATGGGTTGATTACAATTTAGAAATTATGCTGACATACAATGATAAGATGAAGCACTCCGCTACAGGTATGACACCTAATCAAGCAAGGAAAGAGAAACATGAATATAGGGCAATGATTAATGTAGCATCAAAGGCAAAGAAAGAAAGAATATACCCAACATTAGAGGTGGGAGACAAAGTAAAGATAATGAGAAAGAAAGCAATTACAGAGAAAGAAAGAACTTCCCACTGGCTGAATGGTTATTATGTTGTGCAAGAGATTGCAGAAAAGTTGAACCAACAATATTACAAATTAACTGATTACCCAAGATTGTTGATGAGGCATGAACTTTTAAAGATTTAGTGTTTTTAGAAAGCCATGATGCAACCATGATATGGTTGATTTGATGTGCTCTTTGGTTTCGTGGTTTTGTGTTTTGCCCTTCATTTGTTTTCCCCATGAATTTGTGACTGGGTCATTGGCTGGGATTGCTCCATGTTCCTTTGCCCTTCCTCGCCTTGGCTTTGTCATCAATCTCTTCTGCATCCTGTTGTCGGGGCGCTCAGCTGTTGGGAATATGCCAGTCCGAGGTTTGAAGCCACATGTTCTTGGAGAGCTTGACCTTGGAAGTTGTTTCATTTTGAGCATTTTTGACATTCTCAATTGGAAAGCTACAGAAATTAGCTCTTTCAGTTTGAGCTTGGAATTTTGTGTCATTTTTCAGCATCTTTTGCTCAAACCACTCGGGTGCGCTTTTTAGCTTGGTGTCGGCATGTTCATGGCGCAAATCCGTTTGTACGCTTGCCTCATCATATTTGCATTGAGCGCTGGAGCTGTAGACAACAACAGCACAGGCCTTGCAGATGCCTTGCAAAAAATGGGCAAGAGCAAAGGCATATCAGGCATGAACCAGACGGAGAATCTGCGGCGCCCTGATTGTTGTACAGGTTGTCCTACGACTTGTGCTCAGTGTTGCCGCCGTTAGGCATCACTCGGATGTTGTGACAGATAGGCATCCCTCCTTTTTCACCCCATTTTTTCGCTCGTCAATTTTGGTGACGAAGAAAGTGGGTGAGAAAACAGTGCTTCGCCACCAGCGCGACTCGCAAAACCGGGCTTTGAAGAGATCTTTTTACGATTGAAGAGGTCTGCATGTTTCTTTTAGAGCATGCATGCCAGTGACCCTTCACAAACTTGACATCCAGGGCATTCATGCCTGATAAAAAGGCGAACACCCAGATACTTGAAGACTGGCTCCAACAAGTATGGACACACATAATCCTTTTCACTCCATTTCGCCCCAAAGTTTGGATTGCTGTGCCATTTACATCGCGCTGAGGTTAAGAAGACATGGTCATCAACAAGTTCATGAAGGGTGGTTTGGGCATGGCAATTGCGGATTAAGAGAGATTTGGGGTTGAGAAAGATGTGATGCTGTTGTGATATGCTAGTTTGTATGTATGCTGGTATGTATGCTGGGGGGTGGGATAGTATATTGGCTGGGGGTTGAGGGTTCCCCTGTAGGGGCAGACTGTGGTAATTAATCCCATAATCTTCATAGTAAATGATTATGAAAATTATGTTGGTTATCCCCATAAATTTGAAGTGATGATTATGAAATTCAAACTCAAAATTACAAGAGGCACACAAACGCTTTGAAGCATGAGGAGAATTTGAAGAAGAATGATAGTTAAATTTCGTTTTAAAACGTGAAATTGTCTTTTGTTTTGGTTTGTTGTTATGGTTTTTGGTATAATCTATTTTATAATCTATTGTATTGCTTATGTTGTTTTGTTTTTTCTTTTTGTTGTTTGTTGTTCTGATTTATGTTATTGTTTTCTATAAGGTGTTGCTCCCCTGTCTTTGGTATTAACCCCATAGAATTTGCTTGTATAATAATGTGGGCGGTTAGATGAGAAAGACGGGGGAGCAACAGTCTAACTATATATAATCTAATATATATAATCTAATGTATATATATATAAAATCTAATATATATATATATAATCTAATATATATATATATAATCTAATATATTATATAATATTATATATATATAGATAAACTCCTGTCAGCAGCACAGCACGTTTTTTTTTTCCCCCAACATCGAGTCCTAATGTCCTTTTTGCAGGTCACCTGATCCGGCAGCTGGTTCGAAAATTGCGACCCGGTGGACGGGCCTGGTTTGGCGGGAACGTGCCAAGCAGCGCGATTAACATCGGCAACGAACCCTTCAGGACACTGGATCCATCAGGTTAAGCTCCAGGATTTTCGGCTTGAACCAATGGATTGGTTTTTGGGAAAATTTACAGGAACCCCCCATATTTAATGGTAAAAACCATGGTTTCCTGTAGATTTTCCCTTAAACCAATCCATTGATTGAAGCATGTGCAACAAAAATTGTGAGCCCCAGATTTTTTAGGAGAAGAGACTGGAAGCGGTGTTTAATCTCCTTGGCTCAAGTGAGGCACTTGGAATCCGAACGACTAAAAACGGACTTTTTTTACTGCATGTCCTGAAATTTTAGGCATCATTCATCATCATTCTACATCCGCAATTAGCGCCGTTTTTTGGATGGTGAAACCACCGTGTTTCACCCATGGAATTTGGGTGGCAGCCATCCCGAGGTCGGTGGCATACCCGTGTCGTTGGACTTCATGGCAGACGCTGGGCAATTGGAAAGCCTCTGCTTTGAGGATCATCCCACGAATCGTAACTGATAAAAAATGAGCCGAAAAATAACTCTGTTAGTAAGTCCCCTGAGTGGGGTTGTCCTAGTTGTCCTGTATATAGATGGTTATAACTTTTATAACCACACTTACTATCCATTACTATCCAGTTATCAAGTTGGATGATCCTCCAAGTGGTTTTTTTGACCCTGGCAGTGGATAATCGACCTCTCTTTACAAGGCAAATCATTGAAGCCATGCAGTAGATCTCTCCACCCAGCCAGCTAAATCTGCATGCAACTGGAACATCCGAATGATGGGCCACCTAGGACGCAGCTCTCTTCAGAAGAAACTTATTTGAAATTGGTCCAAAACCAGGCAAGGATTCGGATTTCCCAAGATATGGCAGACTGGCAGACTGGTTGTGCCATTGAGACTCAGAGTGGTGGGCGGAGCTTTTCAGGTGACTATCTCTACTTCCATCCAACATATTCAGTCCTGCTTCGTAGAATGAGTTGAGAGCCAAAGTTGCTCTTGGCATGAAGACGATCGACGTGTTTTCAAAGAAGGCAATCTCGTTCAGCAACGTGTGATGAGTGAGGCAGTCAGAACAGCTGCAGTCGCCAAGCAGCCGCGACGCTGTTGGAAGTTGTTTTTTCGCTGCCATTTGGCCCAGATGTTGGGTGTGTGGCCTGCCAAAAGGCAGGCCCAAGAGAGGTGGCAGCCCTGGGCGATTCCAAGCCAAGTTCTTGTGGAAACAGCCGTGAATACAGCCGTGACTGAAATGTGGAAAACCCAATAAGCCACCAGTAAATCGCTTGCCAGAAACGGGTGGGTTTATCCAGCTCCATTTTTTGGTTCATCCATCATCAATACCCCTGGAATGCCTTCGAGCCGATCCTGCCAGGGATGGTCAACTGGGAGAAGGCAGCGGAGTTACGGAGTTTGGGGGATTTTCGGCTGAACATCACTTTATCATGGTTAAATATGGTTTTTTGTAGGGGTGAACCATCTCACCCATTTATGGAGAACTCTCGAAAAAGCCTGGTTTTCTCTCCGCGGCAGGTGAATCCAGACAATGCGGTGGATCCTCTTCCACTGCCCTTTTCCATTATCGATGAGGCACCGGCACCAGGATACCATAGGATACCAAGCGGTTGCGAAAAATCTGATGCAATAGATCCATCAGATGGTCCAAAATAGTGTGGCCACAATTGGCCACAATTCTCCGGGTACCCGGCACCGCAACTTACGGATATGACATTACCATGGATTAGCCATAGAAATAGCCCCATTACGGCCCCTATTTCCGATTAAATCCAGGACCCAAGCATTTTGAGGTGTCAATCGCAGGGTGTCCTGTTGAAAGGTGATAGAGGAGATCTTAGAAGCGGTGGGCGACCAGGTCGACCTCATTGAAAAGAAGAAAAGGCCCCCTCGGGGCCCTCGGTGTTTCCTTTTTGCATCGGCAAGATATGGGCTTGGTAACATCCTGGGAACACAGGGGAAAACCGTGTTCCATCCACTGATTACTTATTAGATATTATTAAATTAGTACCTAACAATTTTGGGCATTTGAGGGGTATACCGGTATACCCCGTTCAGACAAACCTATACATCAAAAAAAGTGGCTAGTCAAATCAATGGGGTAAAATTATAACCAACAGACAACACTTGCAAGAACCGTGTTTTTTTCCCGGTATATATGATGATGATATTTGGGCCGGATATACTAGCCTTCCAAACCTTATAGATCAGAACATGGAGGTCAGCAAAAAAGGAGCACTGTAAAGATCTGTAAAGCACACCATTTTACGACACCTTACATCTTACAATGCATTGGATACAAACAACCAAGATGGTGTCACACATTTTGCATTTTTTTTTTTACACTTCCTCAACATGGAGGACACAACCAGCAACATGGTGGTAGAGTTCACGTGGCGACCCAGTGGTGTTTTTTCATGGTGGTGAACACGTGGCGTCAACCGGTCAGGTGTCCGGAATACGAGTTCGCGTTGCCAGAGGTGATCCTGGTTGATTCCTGGTTGATTCGGGGCCTATTCTAAAGTCATTTGTTTGTTGAAAATGGACCACTTGAAGGACTGAAAATGTCTGAAAATATCCTGCAAATTTCTAGAAAAACAACTCGGAGGTTTATTCAATTTTGTTCATCCAGGACATCAATACAGACATCGCTCCAATTTTGGCCTTTTGGCCAGGCACGTGCATCCTTTTTCGTGCAGGCCTGGCAGATGCAGATTCTGCTTAAACTTGGTGGCTCAAAATGACTCCCGTCACCGACAGAAACTGTTTGTTCTTGGTACAACACATTGTACTGTAGAATACTTGTATTAGATATATCATATCACAAGCCATCCATAGCAAACAATTTTTTGACACAATATAATACTATATTACTATATAGTCCCACAATATTAGAATATATTAGATATATCATATATCACAAACTCTCCATAGCAAGCATTTTCTTGACACTTTTTTTGGTCAAAGATTCGTCAAGGTCCCACAGTATGTCAAAGTCATGATGCATTTTTACACCTCCACTGAGGTGCCTGGACGGATAGCATGTGCCTTTGTGGAACCCCGAGGGACTGCCAGGTGTGTCATCAAACTGGGGGACGGGTAACTTGCCGGTGACCCGGCCATCAATGGAGGTGTTTATAGCTGGGAATATCACCTGTAAAGGCTGATGAATGCTGATGATTCTGGACTCACTTTGTGATGTGAAATGATGTGAAAATCAATGGGAGATCTCCAGGATCCAATTTATGGAGGTACGTTAGTACCATATTTCAGGCCATATTTTGTGGGGATATTCCCTGAAACATGGGTGAAAACATGGGATAACATGGCTATATTCTCAGCATTTCATCATGCTGTTCTCGCATGGCACAGGATGGCCTTAGGCACCAGCGAAGGGGAAGCGCTTCTGGTCGACAGCCGGAAGGGGGAGGCTGGGACTGATGCCGCGTCACCACCTTCGATAATGGGATGTTGACCATCTATCGGCAGGATTTCGCCAGCATCCACAGTATCACTGTCAGTACGTGAATTACCCTCTGGTAAACGTTTACATAGCTATGGAAAATCACCATTTTTAATGGGAAAACTCACTATCAATGGCCATTTTCAATAGCTATTTTGACATAACCAGAGGGTATGATCAGCAATTCCCAAGGTTGGATGACCATAATGACCCAATCCGCCCAGTGTTGTGACCATCGCCATGTTTCGCCACGTTTCGCCTGCACGGCCAGGTGGTGGCCCACGCCCATCCCTTTCCGCAACTTGAGCCAGTGACCTGCGTGTCCATTTGCTCGGAAACAGCCTACCAGGAGAGCCGGCAGCCAGAGTTCACATGACATGGAGAGCAGCAGTTGGAGTTGGGCCAAAAATGGCGTTGAAATTTGGGGAACAAAAATGGCGAACCATCATTTTCCCCAAACATTTCCCTATATTTTCCCATGAACATGCTTATTTAGGGGTATCCCGGTATCCTCATTTTGAGACAGAGCCATCAACCACACAAAAATTCCGCAGCCAAGCCCTGAGAAACTCTCAGGATGTTTTTGCCGGACCAGGCAGTGCGGACGGATCTGTCTGAATGTTTCCTGTGGTCTTGAACCTACCCTCTGGTAATTTAACATAGCTATTGAAAATCGCTATTTATAGTGGATTTTCCCATTAAACATGGTGATTTTCCATAGTTATGTTAGTTTACCAGAGGGTAGTGTCTATACCCCATTCTTTTTATGTGTTTTTATCAGACATTTTTCCCTACTAAAATGGTCAGTTGGGCTAGGTATTTGGTGTGGAGCACCAGCTACCCCCCCTGACTTCCCGTGAGGCATCGACCCTCCAGCTTTGCCAGTGCCACAAATGAAGCTCTTCGTCGGATGCTGAGCCAAAGCTCGGTTGAGATGAGCGTTCCGAAAAAAACCTGGTTGGGAATAGGTGAATAGGATGGGGATAAGGTATCAACCTACGACCTACGTAGTTGATTCGGGAACATTTCTAGGCCATACTTCAAGGGATAGCTGTTTACCAAGCATTTGTACATAGTTAATGGATGTTTTTATTGGGAGAACTGCGAGGCTGGCGGAGTGACCACTCCAAAGATTCTGGTCTACAACATTCAAAAGTGGCTGCCCCGGCGATTCTACGTGGAATCAGGGACACTTTCACCTGTTTTGACTGATCTTGAAGGATCAGGAAGAAGTGCCCTTATCTTCCTTGTCTTCCTAGTGTATATTTAGCCAGTGTAGCAAAAACACATGATTTTCATGTGATTATATAGTATGCATGTATATATATATAATATATATATATGATATAACCATCCCAAGTTAAGTTCCCATGACCTTTCTCACCTCCGCAAGCCCAGGGAAAGCTTTGGTGTTGTCTTGAAACCCGCCTGCTCTGCCCTCAGCCGGGCGAGACTTTGATTGAAGGGCCAGCGGTTAGGTTTTTCGTGATGCCTCGGCGAGGTGCTATCCATTTGCCAGAGGCATGGGCAAAACACTCACCTGCCAGGGTCAAGACTGGGATAGATCATGATACATTTCATGTGCTAATCATAATTACAGGTGTGTATGCATCTATGATATTCTAATTATTATGGATCATAATCGAAAAAGTTGATACATACACACCTGTGGATATATACATGCATATATGGACCCGGTGTTCTGGAGGCGGAAGAGACTGAGCGTCCTGTGATAGAGCAACTCCACACCAGGCCCCATCGTTACGACTTTCGATCTCAGCAACTCTGAAGCATCTGGAATGTGGTAAACCCATGTAAACCCAATGATATTCCTACAATTTGGCGATGGTTTATACCACATATACCACGCTTTTATGGTAATGTTGGGGATTGTTTATTATTGGGTTTACCACATTACTATGCATCGCAACGCGACATTCTGGAAAAGTCTCGTATGATTTTCCTGCGCCAGGGGTGTCATTGGTGGCGTTTGGGTTTGGTCCCTGGCCACGCAGAGATTCCGCCAATATGTGGCTGTCCAGCACTCTTGGTTTACAAAGCCAAACAGCTTTGTATACTTGGATTTGCTGAAGATGTTTTTTTTTTTTTATGTTTCCCACGGGGAAATCCAATATTTGGGGAATCTATGGCAGATTTTGATCTTTTCGGGGGTTCCTCAAGCAAATCCAAGTACAAAAAGCCTGCAATGTTCTTGAGAAAAACAATGACATGTGCTGGCACACCACACTTCAATGAGTCACTCCTTACACCTATGTTCAAATTTCTTCACTTTTGACGCTGGCAGACTTCTGGCGAGGTCTTAGCAACCGATGTAATTAATCCTCCCGTAATCTTAAATACCTCCCAGAAGCCATGGCTTAGGAGGGAATTCATGTATATGTGAATCTATAATAACAATGATGATAATAATGATAATATTAATAACAATAACAATGATACTGTAGCAATAATCATACTTATAATAATTGATGATAATAATAATGATAATAATAATGATAATATATAGATTTAATGGGACAATTTAGGGTGGCTTTGAGATTTCTAGGGGATGGGATCTAATCGACTCGAACCTCACATGACTGAAAGACATTGGCTCAGGTTCTTGCGCTCTTGCCCGACAAGACCGTGCGCAAGGGCCCAAGGATCCCCCTCTGTGGACCGATTCCCCAAGAAACCGACGAAGTCCGACGACCCCCGAGGTGTCTACCTGACTCCACTGGGGGAACCCGACCTGGATGAGGAGGATCCGAGATGGGGCCATGAGGATATGGAGGATGAGTATCCATGAAAAAACAACTGGCAACCAGCTACTTTCTGCATCATTTCGATGGGAGAACCAGGATATTGATGGCTTTCGATTCATTTAATACTATGACATAGTCAGTGATCAGCCGTTTTTTTTGGAGGCGAATGTGGTGCTGGACACGCCCATTGCAGAAGGTGACGAAGATGATGAGGAGGCTTGGTGGGCCCCCCGTGCCTCCGGTGCCTCCGTGCTGTGGGTCCCTGGGCTCGATTTCCCCCTGTCAGACAGGTGAGGGGTTCCCTCTGACTCAACTTTCTCCGCCGTGAAATTTCTGTGGCTTTCTATGTTTACCTTACTGCTGTCGATCAACCTTTGAGACTCAAGTTTGGGTGAAGATTGCCAATAGAAAATGCTGATTCTACTGGACGCAGCTACGAAATCTGACACGACAATATCTTGCTACATTTGTTGCTGAGGGTGAAGACGAAGATGGAGGGCCGGCTGAGGACAGACCCTTCCTGCCCTTCCTTCGCTGGAAGCCTATTGAGTTTGGCAGAGGCCTCGAGGAAACTCTTCGCTTTCCAGCTTCAAATAATTCTACCCTCTGGAAATCATTGCAATTTGAGAATCCCCCATTTGGGTCCATGATTTTCCCATTAAAACCAGGGGGTGCCTGTTTTGACCTTCTGAAAAGCTCCCACTCTTGAACCTATGCTTCGAGATCCTTGAGCTGCAGGAATTTGCCAATGCTTTGCAAGTGAATACAGCAGTACTGCTGGCAAGCTTCGTTTGGGTCAGTGGAAACACATTCAGGGCGGGGGTTCGCTTGAACATTGGAGTTTTTCTCGCTTGTGCGTGGGATTTTGGATCGCTTGAACGTGGGCCATTTTCGCTCATCTGCCGTTCTTGACATGTTGCACATGCTCGCTTATGCTCAACAGAGGGGGGGCTCATAACGTTCGTGACGACTTTGAGACAGGGTCCACGGAACATGTTGCTGTTGTCTTACCCCCCTTCCCCAATGTCCCCATGCCCCACTGTCATCCAATGCCCCCATGTCCCCGCCCCCCTTTCCCCTAAGTATCAAACCCTAAAGGTGTGAGGGGTGTCCAAGTAATGTTCAAGTGATCCGGAAGCCAATGTCCCAAATGATCCTGGTGATTCCTGGTGCCCACAGCAAAATCACATGGATTTGGGAGAAAAAATCCGAACGCCTGGCGACTGCCAGATGTATAGCTTCTCGCTGACTCAGTTGGTGATCTCCTCAGCTCTGGTTGATTAGTTCGAGGTGATACACCACTTGGGCAAAAAATCAGCATCCATAAACTGGGAATGACACAGAATCCATCGATTTTCCAAGATTTTCCAATTATTCTCCAAAAAATGCTACCCCCAATTTTCCAGATTTTTTTCCAGATTTTTCATGATTTTACTCGATGAATCCATAGACTTCCATAGATTTCTGAGATTTTCATGGATTTTCCATGACTTTCCCAATGATTTCCAGAGATTTTGCTGGATTTTCCCAGAGATTTTGCTCCCGTTGAGGCTCCCATGCGGCACTTGCCAATGCCAGAGCTCGACACGATCACCTTGACGGCCTGGTGAAAAGACAACTACACTAGCTGTCTATGATGTATGTATATAATATGATCATATATATATATAATACTTTATATATATATGTATACATATTACATATATATATAATACATAATATATATATGTATACATACTATATATATAAATAAAATAAAATAAAATAAAATAAAATAATATAATATAATATAATATAATATAGTGTATATAAAAAATGTGTATGCACTATGTGCACTATAGTAATATATGTACACATGGACAGTATATTGAAGCTTTCTGGCATTTGTGCTAGGTCTTCTCGCCTCGACCGCGCGATGGTGCATATGGCATGGGAGTTTCGGCTGGGCAGGTGCCCAAAACGATGTTCCCCCAGAAATGGATGGTTTCAGATCCAAGATATCCAAGACATATCAAAAAATGATATCAATACCGTTCAAGTGTGGGACGATTGGATGGTGCCCTACAAAAATGGCCGCCACAGCCATATTTTTGTTGAAAGCCTGGGACATTGCCCTCGTTGACGTCATTGGAAGGTTTCTTCGGATCTGTGATCCACTGTTGCAGGTGCCGACTTTGTGTTTTGCCTCTTCTGTAGAATCGAACGCAATTCTCGCGCACTTGTCTTGAACCTAGCTCGGTGTTCCCACAGCGCAGGTATTGCTTTTGTTGATGTTAACTTTTCATGACAACAGTGCGCATGTGTTGCGCTTTGCCGCTCAGCATCCCATCACCAGCCCCTCTGGTGGCTCCGACTGGCATGGTGCTGAGATGAAGCTTTCGAGAAACGAGGCTTTTCTTAACGAGTCGATTTCAAGATCATCTGCTAGGTTTGGAGCTGGATGAGCTTCTGATGAAGGTCAGGTTGCTGAAAATTGCAGTGGCTAATTACACTTTCTTTGCTTCACATTTTCTTAGAGCTGGTTAAGGGAACAGAACACCTACAGGGCTGTCAAGTTTTCCCAGCACTCCAGTGATATTTCATGATATGAATCGCAGCGATTCCACGGCTTTCGCACACGGCTTTCGAAGGAAATCCCCCCGCATGGCCTTCTCCCTGATCCTGAGACCAAGCAGCTTCAGCCAAGGAGAAGCAGTATCTGCTGTCAACCCTGCAGATCCATTGGTTTCTGTTGTATATAATATAATATAATATAATATAATATAATATTATTATATTATATTATTATATTATATTATTATATTATATTATTATATAATATTATATTATATTATAATATAATATAATATTATACTATATAATATTATATAATACTATATTATTATATTATATTATTATATAATATTATATTATTATATTATACTCTATTATATTATATTATATAATTTTATTATATTATAGTATATTATATTGTATTATATTGTATTGTATTGTATAATATATAATATTATATTATTATCATATCATATCATATCTTGTACATTGTATCTTGTATATTGTATATATTGTATATATATATATATATATTATATATGTCATATATACATATGTATCATCGCGTGAAACGAATCTCCATTGATTTAATGGCCTTTGGTGTTTCAGACAGATGCCCAACTCGAAAGAACAATTGGCGTGTTTCGTCGCCACCAGGAGAAGATGGAGCATGCCAGCGAAGGCAGACTAGCAATATCTTCAGATGCTGCAGCTGGAAGTTTTTAGGATTGATTGCATCATGAGATTTCAATTTGGTACCCCTAGTCATCATCCATTTATAGCTGGATTTTCCCTTGACCATCCAGCTATTGGGGAATCCCCATGGCCCCATGGCAACTCCCAGAAGTCACTGTCGATGCAAGCCACCGCTTCAGACGAGTGCAGTGGCTGTGGCTCCAAATGGCGGGATCTTCGCCGTCAACTCAGCCAGGTTATGTGAACTATACATCCTTTACTATAAACATGTATAAACATTTGTAAACCATAGTTGAGTGTATATATCATTATATATCATTATATATCATTATATATCATTATATATCATTATATACCATTATATATCATTATATATCATTATATACCATTATATATCATTATATATCATTATATACCATTATATATCATTATATATCATTATATACCATTATATATCATTATATATCATTATATACCATTATTTTAAGGGCTAACGCCCCTCGTCGGCTCCGCCGGATTTCTCGGCCCTCCATTTCATCGCAGTGTGGGGGCTGGAAAGCTTTTGGATGGGGACCTGCTTCAGGAATATATTCCTTACGTTTTTTGAAAAAAAACATGGAACAGGAACTTTGTTGGAAATAGACGGCTTTTTTGGGGAGCAAGTGAGTGCCCGAAAGCTCCTGCCAAGGGTTTTTCCCGAAGAACTGCTGCCAATTTCAACGTGTGACTTCATGTCAAGACGCCTCTGTGCAAAGACTTCTCTGTGTGAAAGCTTTTGTGTGTAAAAGTTTCTGTGTGTAAAAACCACTTTGTGTAAAGACTTCTTTGTGTAAAAGCTTCTATGTGTGAAAGCTTCTCTGTGCGAAATGTCTGTGTAAAGATTTCACTGTGTGTAAAAGCTTCGGTGTGTAAAAACTCTCTGTGTAAAGTGTAAAGGCTTCTCTGTGTAAAAGCCTCTGTGTGTAAACGCGTCTGTGTGTGAAAGCTATATATCTGTGTAAAGACTTCTTTGTGTAACAGCTTCTGTATGTAAAGGCTCCTAGACGTTTGTGTGCAAAAGCTCCTTGGAGTAAAGACTTCTCTGTGTAAAACCTTCTGTGTGTAAAAAGCTCCTTTGTGTAAAGACTTCTCTGTGTAAAAGCCCCTGTGTGTGTAAATGCTTTTGTGTGTAAAAGCTCCTCTGTGTAAAGGCTTCTCTGTGTAAAAAAAGCTTCTGTGTGCAAACACGTCTGTGTGTAAAAACCCTCTCTGTCAGGCCTTCTTCGTGTAAAAAGTTTTGTGTGAAAAAGCTCCTAGACGTTTGTGTGCAAAAGCTCCTTAGGGTAAAGACTTCTCTGTGTAAAACCTTCTGTGTGTAAAAAGCTCCTTTGTGTAAGGACTTCTTTGTGTAAAAGCCCCTGTGTGTGTAAAAGCTTGCTGTGTGTAAACGCTTTTGTGTGTAAAAGCTCCTCTGGCTGAAGGCTTCTCTGTGTAAAAGCTTTTGCGTGTAAAAGTTTCTGTGTGTAAAAACTACTTTGTGTAAAGACTTCTTTGTGTAAAAGCTTCTGTGTGTGAAAGCTTCTCTGTGTGAAAGCGCGTCTGTGTAAAGATTTCACTGTGTAAAATTCTCTGTGTAAACGCTTCTCTGTGTAAAAGATTCTGTGTGTAAACGCGTCTGTGAATGAAAGCTATATGTATCTGTGTAAAGACTTCTTCGGGGAACAGCTTCTGTGTGCAAAGGCTCCTAGACGTTTGTGTGCAAAAGCTCCTTAGAGTAAAGACTTCTCTGTGTAAAACCTCCCGGCCAGGTTTTGGCAAAAACGGCCGTTTCCCAATGATCCCAGAAGAGAAATTCAATAGCCGGCCGAGGGGCCGCCAAATGGCAGAAATTTGCTTCCAAAAGGCTCCCGGCCAGGATTTGGCCAAAAACGGCCGTTTCCCAATGATCCCAGAAGAGAAATTCAATAGCCGGCCGAGGGGCCGCCAAATGGCAGAAATTTGCTTCCAAAAGGCTCCCGGCCAGGATTTGGGCAAAAACGGCCGTTTCCCAATGATCCCAGAAGAGAAATTCAATAGCCGGCCGAGGGGCCGCCAAATGGCAGAAATTTGCTTCCAAAAGGCTCCCGGCCAGGATTTGGGCAAAAACGGCCGTTTCCCAATGATCCCAGAAGAGAAATTCAATAGCCGGCCGAGGGGCCGCCAAATGGCAGAAATTTGCTTCCAAAAGGCTCCCGGCCAGGATTTGGCCAAAAACGGCCGTTTCCCAATGATCCCAGAAGAGAAATTCAATAGCCGGCCGAGGGGCCGCCAAATGGTAGAAATTTGCTTCCAAAAGGCTCCCGGCCAGGATTTGGCCAAAAACGGCCGTTTCCCAATGATCCCAGAAGAGAAATTCAATAGCCGGCCGAGGGGCCGCCAAAAGGCCGAAATTTGCTTCCAAAAGGCTCCCGTGTGTAAAAAGCTCCTTTGTGTATAGACTTCTCTGTGTAAAAGCCCCTGTGTGTAAAAGCCTGCTGTGTGTAAATGCTTTTGTGTGTAAAAGCTCCTCTGTGTAAAGGCTTCTCTGTGTAAAAGCTTCTGTGTGCAAATGCGTCTGTGTGTAAAAACCCCTCTGTGTAAAGACGTCTTCGCGTAAAAAGTTCTGTGTGAAAAAGCTCCTAGACGTTTGTGTGCAAAAGCTCCTTAGAGTAAAGACTTCTCTGTGTAAAACCTTCTGTGTGTAAAAATCTCCTTTGTGTAAGGACTTCTCTGTGTAAAAGCCCCTGTGTGTGTAAAAGCTTGCTGTGTGTAAACGCTTTTGTGTGTAAAAGCTCCTCTGTGTGAAGGCTTCTCTGTGTAAAAGCTTCTGTGTGCAAACGCGTCTGTGTGTAAAAAGCCCTTAGAGTAAAGACTTCTCTGTGTAAAAGCTTCCGTGTGTAAAAAGCTCCTTTGTGTAAAGACTTCTCTGTGTAAAAGCCCCTGTGTGTGTAAAAGCTTGCTGTGTGCAAATGCTTTTGTGTAAAAGCTCCTCTGTGTGAAGGCTTCTCTGTGTAAAAGCTTCTGTGTGCAAATGCGTCTGTGTGTAAAAACCCCTCTGTGTAAAGACTTCTTCGCGTAAAAACTTCTGTGTGAAAAAGCACCTAGATATTTGTGTGCAAAAGCTCCTTAGAGTAAAGACTTCTCTGTGTAAAACCTTCTGTGTGTAAAAAGCTCCTTTGTGTAAAGACTTCTGTGTAAAAGTGTGTGTGTAAAAGCCCCTGTGTGTGTAAAAGCTTGCTGTGTGTAAATGCTTTTGTGTGTAAAAGCTCCTCTGTGTGAAGGCTTCTCTGTGTAAAATAAGCTTCTGTGTGCAAACGCGTCTGTGTGTAAAAACCCCTCTGTGTAAAGACTTCTTCGTGTAAAAGCTTCTGTGTGTAAAGGCTCCTAGACGTTTGTGTGCAAAAGCTCCTTAGAGTAAAGACTTCGCTGTGTAAAACCTTCTGTGCGTAAAAAGCTCCTTTGTGTAAAGACTTCTCTGTGTAAAAGCCCCTGTGTGTGTAAAAGCTTCTGTGCGACTCCTCCCTCCAGCTTTCTTTCAGGTCACGCTGTCGTCCAGTTTCAATCTGCAACATTGGTTCTTGTGGAAGAAGGCAAAGAACAGGTGAAAGCATCGCAGGTTAAAAAATTGAACATAAACAGCGCACAAAGTGTTGTAATTTACAGCATTTTGCGCTGTCAGATGGCAAGAACCCGCGTAAATACCACAGTTTTAGTCCCCGAAAGTGGCTAAAACACTGTTATTTACAGGGTTTCGTTCACGTCACGAGCTGCGATTTTTTGAAAACCGCGTAAATACCAGCGTTTTTTCCGTTCATCAAGGCAAAAAATCGGTTCAACAAGGGAAGAAAATGCTGTAATTTACAGGGGTTTGGCGCCGCCACGGGCAAAAAACTGCGTAAATACTAGCGTTTCGGCGTCCAAAAGTGGCCAAAACACCGCTATTTACAGTGTTTCGTGCCTTCTACGTTTTCTTGAAATTGCAAAAACATTGTGAATACTAGCATTTTTTGCGATCAACCCGCCAAAAATGCTGTAATTTACAGTGTTTTTTTGCGGTGCTTTCAAAAACACTGGTATTTGCAGTGTTTTGTGCATCTCGGGTCCAAAAAGTATTGGTATTTACAGCATTTTCTGCGTTTTTGCATGGCTCCCGCAAAAGACGGTAAAACGCAAAAATGCTGTAATTTACAGCATTTTGTGACTTTCGAAAAGTTGAAAATTGTCCGAAAAAGGTGTCAAAACGGCGCTTTTTTCCGATTTTAGGTACCCTCCAAATCGGGGGGGGGGAATGCTCTTGGAGACGCTTATGAGCGACCCGGATTCCGTCCAAAAAGCTTTCCCCCACCCTCCTGAAGGATTTTTGGTGTTTTTCGGGGCCCGGCGTCGGAGGGTCGGCGGTTTGGGGCGCGCCTCACCATAGAGCTCTAGTCGCTCTGGGACGCTCGTGACGCATTTGTCAGCGTACTCGTGGGGAGCCGGCGGAGGGCTGCCGCCCCCTGCCGCCGACCCCTGGCATCTCCTGAACAAGGAGAGCCCTGAACAAGGGCCGGTCGGGCGCTCAGCAAACAGTACGTAGTCTCCTGAACAAGGAGAACCCCGAACAGGGGTTAGTTTTTTCGATCCATGTGTAGAGTGTGGAGTGTAAAATGTGGAGTATGAAGTGTGGAGTGTAGAGTGTGAGTGCGGAGAGTGTCAAGTGTAGACTGTGAGACTGAAGTGTGGAGTGTAGAGTGTGGAGTGTGGAGTACAAGTACCGAGTGTAGAGTGGAAAGTGTGGAGTGGAAAGTGTGGAGTGTAAAGGGCGGAGTGTAAAGTGTAGAGCGGAAAATGTGGAGTGTAAAAGGGGGAAGTGTAAAGTGTGGAGTGTAATGTGTTGTGGAGTGTTGGAGTGTAGAGGGTGGAATGTAAAGTGTGGAGCGTAAAGGGTAGAGTGGAGAGTCCGGAGTGTGGAGTGTGGAGTGTACAGTGTCAAGTGTGGAGTGCAAAGTGTAGAGTGTGGAGTCTAAAGTGTAGAGTGTAAAGTGTGGAGTGTAAAGTTCGGAGTGTAATGTTGAGTGTGGAGTCTAAAGTGGGGAGTGTGGAGTGTAGAGTGTAAAGTGTGGAGTGTAAAGTGTAGAGTGTGGAGTCGAAAGTTGGGAGTGTGAAGTGTAGGGTGTGGAGTGTCAAGTGTAGAGCGCAAAGCGTGGAGTGCAAACTTTGGAGCGTACAGCGTGGAGTGGAA